CGGCCGCTGGCGATGGGATGGCTCTTCACAGCTGTTCAGGCCTCTTTTGCTCAGCAAAACCATCTGTTTTGGGCATTTACAGCCCCCGGGTCAGGCACCAGACCCCCTTCCTCCAGCACCCACCTTCACTCCTGGTCCTGCATGAGTGCTCAGCTACAGCTGGGCAAGAACCATCGTACCCCAGGGCTAATAAGAGCCCCTTTGCTCCGTGGTCCAGGTGCATTGAGCAGGAGAAGTACCTTGAGACCCTGGCCCAGGTTGCCCAGAGAAGCTGTGGCTGCCCCATCCCTGGAGGGGTTCAAGGCCAGGTTGGAGGGGGCTTGGAGCAACCTGGTCTGGTGGGAGGTGTCCCTGCCTGGGGTGGGGGGTGGAATGAGATCCTTAAAGATCGTATCTTTCAGGTCCCTTCCCACCCAAACCATTCTATGGTTCTGTGATTCCCTCCCAGGCAGCTGAGCTCAGCCTGGCTGTGGGGAGCGAGGCATGGAGACCCCAAAACACCCCCCACCCCCTGCCCCACTGCCATCACGCACGGCCCCATCCGGGGCAGCTCGCCAGCTCTCCTGAGCACGGGCTTTGTTCTGCCGCCCCTGCGCTGGGCGAGATAAGGCAGCTGGCTCCGGTATTTTTTCCTGTTGGAAGCTGCTCCTGGGATGCGGCCGGACCGGCGGATGCTCGGCGCTTCTCTCTTCCTGCCCCTGCCTTGTTCCTGCCTGGGCTGGCCGGGCTCGCTGCCTCCTGCCTGCCTGAGGGATCGAGGGGACCCCCCCAGCCCTGCTTTGCCCCCCATCCTCCTTTTGCTGACACCGCAGCCTCGGTGCTGACCCCGCTTCTCCTCTCCCCTCCCAGGGCCAAATCCAGGAGCTGGTAGAAAACCTTGGGGACCCTCCCCGGCCGCAGCACTGAACCCACCCCGGGGTTGGGGGGAGCAGAGAGTCCAGGGGTGCCATTTCGGGGCTGGGAGGTGATGGTGCCCCTGGGCAGCCCCCCTCTCGCCGTCTGCGCCTCCAGCAACCCCCGCCTCATGGCCCCCGGCCACAGCTCCCCCCTGGCCTGGCTGAACCGGGGTCCCGAGTGCCCGCGGGAGCCGGGGGGCAGCGGGGGCCGGGTGCCCAGCGCCGTGGAGAGGTTGGAAGCCGACAAGGCCAAATACGTCAAATCCCAGCAGGTCATCAACAGCCGGCAGGAGCCGGCGCTGAGGGGCTGCTCCCCATGGCTCTCCCCCCGTGGCCGGCGCCTCTTGGCCCGCCAGCAGTGTAATGAGTTGTGTCAGGCCTCAGAGCTGAGCCGGGAAGGTCCCAGGAAGCTGCCGTGTCCCCAGTCCCCTGTGTCACGCCGGAGCGGTGGCCGGCGCCTGCTGAGACCCGACTCGCTCATCATCTACCGGCAGAAACGGGACTGCCCAGGAGGGGACAAGGAGAACGCCAAGGGCTCGGGGCTGGTGCGACGCCTCTTCCAGGGACCCCTCAGAGACAAGCCCCCCACTTCCCCCCCGGCCAGGAGGCTGGGTGAGGGGTCACCGGCCCCCCAGAGCCCTGAGACCCCCATGCTGTGGGTGCCGGCAGAGAAGGAGGAGGTGAGGACGCCGGGTGCCAGCAGTGGTGGTGGCAGTGGTGGTATCTTCCCTCTGCCTGGCAGCCCAGTGGCACAGACCCCCCAGCCCCCCGGGAAGCAGGCACTGGCTCTGCGTGTGTCCCTGCCACTCTCTGAGAAGGAGCGGTTCTTCAACTACTGTGGGCTGGACCGGGCCCTGGTGGAGCTGCTGGGGCAGGAGCGGTTCGGGCCGGCGGGATGGGACAACGCCTCGGCTCGGCTCCCCGGATCCTGCGAGTCGGAGCCCGGGCAGGCCTCAGAGGGCAGCGAGGGGGATGCAGAGCTGGGTGAGGAGGAGCCGGACACCCGGCTGGGGTCTGCCGTCTCGGTGGTGGAACGCAACGCCCGCGTCATCAAGTGGCTCTATGGCTGCCAGAGAGCCTGGGCGGCCGCCAAGGAGTCCACCGTCTGAGCAGAGGCAGCCCAGCTGGGGATGAGGACACCTGTGTGGGTCCTGCTGGCTGGATGTGGCCCTTTGCCCTTGCTGGTTGTGGCCGATGGGCTGGTGGCATCCCTGGGCCTGGTGGCACGGGGCTGCTGCTGGCTGGGAGGGACACCAGGTCTACCCTGCCCACCCCCAGAGCCACCAGGTCTACCCGGAGCTGAACACAGTGGGGGCACCCAAGGGGCATGTGGGGAAGGGGCTCCCCTGGGTGAGTCTCTCCCTGACCCCAGGGTCTAACAGGCGGCTGTCACCCTGCTGTGACCCGTGATCTCAAAGGTCCCTTCCAACCATGAAGATTCTGTGATTCTATGTTCTCCATCCACCCTTGTCTCCAACCCAGAGGGGTGGGATGGGGCTGCAGCCCCCCCATCGGCCGCTCACACCCTGTACAAGATGCAGGCTGGGGGAGTGGGCAGTTCCCACCCCACAGCCCCTTTCTCCCCAAAACGGGGGCTGCTGGGGCCAGAGCACCACTCAATAAACCTGTTATTTTTTTTGCAGCGTGTGTGGTTTGTGTGGGCAGAGCCCAGGCTGGGCAGGGGGGATGCTTCGGGGCTGGGGGTGGCAGCTCCCCACCGTGGCAGCCCACGCCATGGGGCTGCTGGGGGGGGCGCAGAAGGCGAAGAAAGCAGCAGGCAAGACTCAGGAAAAAGGGGCACCTCGGGGTCTTTAGTGTAGACAAAGTTGCCAAAACCCCCCGCAGAGCCCGCGGGCACGGGCAGGGGGGTGCCCACGCTGCTGGAAAGTCTGGCTGGTGCTCTTCTAGTTGCCCTTGGGGGCACTTTTATTCCGAATTTCAGCCAGTTTCCCGGCCAGGAAGCCCCAGTGGAAAGCCCCTTCCTCCGGCTCCCGCAGGTCGCTGCCATCCTCACCTGGTGGCTCCCCGGGGCTCTCGTCTGGCTCCGGGGGTGACACCCCCTTGTCCGGCCCTGACGCCTGCTGCCACTTGGTAGCAAAGAGATCCCAAAAACCGGGTGCTTTCTCAGAAGGGGGTGGCTCTGGTGGCGAGGCGGCCAGTGGGCTGGGGAGAGAGCGGGGTTGGGGACATCGGTACGGGGACACTTCTCACTGGGACGGTGGCCCCTCTGAGCCCCCCAGTGTCTCCCTTCCAGCCCCGTGGGTGTAGGCAGGGAGGAGGGATGCGGGTGATGGGATGGGGGGATGTGGGGATTTGAATGGATCCAAGCTTTGGGGTGTGTCCCCCCCCCCACCACCACCGAGCTGCAACTTACTGGTCTGCGCAGGGCTCCGGGCTGAGCAGCTGGTGCTCGTCCTCACGGGCGAAGAGGGATGAAAGTGTCCTCCAGCCCCGGGCACCCACCCCCTGCACCTGCGGGGGAGGCAGCACCGGGGTCACTGGGGGACCTCCAGGGCCCAGAGGGCCCCTCCTGCCTCCCCCCTCTTCCCCCGGCCTCCTCCTCCTCACCTTCCTCGCCAGCTGGGATACGGGGCTGGGTCCTTCCTCCATCAGCGCAGGGGGCTCGGTCGTCTCCATCAGCTCAGGGGGGTCTCCCTGCAAAGAAGCCCCCAGGTGAGGGCAGGGGTGCAGGCAGGGGAAGGGCAGGGAGGTCGGTCACCCCGTTTTGGGGGGACCCAGGCATGGTGGCACCCCCTCCCCTACCTCCTCCTGCAGCACCCCGTCCGCCCGCGCCCCCCCCAGGGTCTGCAGCACTTTGGCCTTGTAGACCCTCCAGAAGCCCTGGGTCATGGTGAGGGGCTCTGTGGGGCCAGGAACCGGGAGCTGTGGGGTGTGGGGCTGGGCCCCCCCTCACCCACACACACACCCCCCCTCCCCGCACCAACCCGGGTGATCCGGTGGCTTCATTAAAGTTTCAGGGGCTGCTTTTGATGCACAAAGGAGAACCTGAGCCCGGGCTGAGCCGGGGGCAGCGCGGGGGCGACCCAGCA